AGCAGTACTCATTTGGGATGACCTGAATAACAACATAGTGATTTTTGCCACTGGTTAATGGTGTCCCCATCCATTCATGCTGTTAAAATCTTTGTACCAGACACACATGCACAAGAAAATAGTAAATTGCTAATTGAACAGCACTTAGGCAAAATCTTCTTCCTAACACCCATTGGGTGACTCTCTTATCATGAAGCATAATGATCCTAACTCATATTAAAAATCCAGATTGACCATGACATAACTGAGACACTTCCTGTGACTTTTAAAAATTACCCATATCTAATAATCATTTTATTCCAGTGAATGTCCCATTCATTTCACTCACCATTTGGAAGATGCCAGCATCCTAGGGATTAACAAGATTTTTCTGTCCTTTTTGTTGGCACATCATTTCTCTAACAACTGACCATCTTCCCATTCACTAAACTAATTGTGAATGTTCAGAATTAAAGCATGAATGAACAATGCTCAGGGCTGGTTACAAACCCATAAAAGTGAGGAGAGGTTGTGAACCTGCACCATTGATGCTAACGGGAGAGCAAGACTGAGTCTGTACAGTGGCTATGGTATTGTTCAACTGACCTGTCAAGAACAGACCAGGGATAATGTTATCAAACAAGACTGTAAATATTTGTAGGCATGTTTTAAATGAACTTGCATTGGCCCTATTCATGCATTAGCTTCCTATTCACATTTGTGCAATGGAGTATTACTAGCACAGATGCTCATGGAAAGTAAATTTGAGTCTAAGTGATCAAATATTTGCAGAAACATGCAAAGCACCAAACTACAAAGTAACCTGGTGAGATTGTCTGCATCCCCCATTGCTCTAGTGAGAGGAGAGTAATTCTGATTCAAGGTGAAGTCCTACACTCATGCGCACAGAGGAAATAAGCAACAAGGACATGCAGTGGGGATGAAGGATCAAGCAGCACCATCCATCCCATTAGAGCAAATGTACTTTCATCTGGTCTCCTTAATGGTGTCCTGATGGAACTTTGCCATATAACGAAGTTCTCTATTTGCTGTAGGGGAGATGCTGGGCCTGGGCAGGGAGGTGTACACAGGAGCACTTCTGTCTTAAGTAGTCCATGGTCTGAAGCAATTTGAGGACCAATGTTCTAAAGAATTTTCCTATTGTGTTTAATGCCAGCTAAAATATTGGCTTCCCCTCTAAGGTGGCAAAGACATGTCCGGTCACGAGCACGGTATAAATGCCTTAGCAGAAGACTGCAGCCAGAGAGAGGGAAACTGAAAGCAGCGGAGAAGTAGATAGGAAAATAAGTGAGAAAATAGAGGTGAATAGGGGCATGTGAGGATGCTTGGGGTGTCCTGCTCCCCCCCCTCAAGAAAAGTGACAGTGACTGTCAGTGTTTTACTAATGAATTGAATGAGCTTGGTACTAATCGTTTAAGGGATGATTTCATTGTTGTTAATTCAGCTGGGAGACCCAGCTTTGTAAACAGGCCTAGGCCCTGAGCCAGCAAGCGTGAAAGTGTCTTCAGTCTCTGGAGAGAAAGGATGCTTTCTTCTTGTGGCTGGAACTCATCAGTTTCATGGCAGTGGCATCTCTTCTAATTACGGCTGTTCCCATTCTTTCTGCCAGGGCGAAGGTTAGGCAGTAATTGCAGTGGAAAGCAGAAAGCTGGAATAACTGCCTTCTCTGGAACTAGCACTGGTTGTTGGCTTGGGCTGAGTAAACTTAGCTGCATTGGCTACGTGTGTGTCAGTCTTTGCTGACTTAGATGAGACCTGGACAAGCTGGCGTATCTGGGGAAGGGGATGGGAAGTAAACAGAATTGAAATGGGCTTTGAAATGATGCATGTGACCAAGATGGGTGTAATTGTATGGAAAAGCATTTACGTTCTGATTTCCTCTGAACATTTTGTGTTCCATAGTATCCATCTTATGACATTAGGTTGCGATAAGAAGAAAACCTAATTGAATAGTAAGATCTGACAAACAGAGACCAGCCATCAGTCAAGCTGCTATTCCATCCTTGCAGGACATTGGATAGAATATTCTGCAGCACCAGTTTGCACTTCTACAAACATCCATTAACTAACCCTCCCCACAGCCCTGGGAGGAGGGTGACGGTTATTTTGCTGATGGGTGAGCGGAGGGATGGAGACAGTTAGGCCCGTACTTTCAAAAGTGGCTTGTGTTTGGATGTCCCAGTACTTGGGTCCCCAAATTTAGCTGCTTAGAGTCTTTTCCTGTGAAGTGCTGAGCACCCACCATTCCCAAGTGAAGCTTGTGAGACCTCGAGACCTGTGAAGAATCAGGCCCTTGGTGCCTAAAATCAGGTACCCCAAACTAGAGGCCACTATTGGAAAAGTCACCTTATGTGTCTTTCACAGAGTCACACAGTGAGTTAGAGCAAGAGGTGGGAATGAAATCCAGGAGTCCTGACTTCCCGTTCCCTGCTCCAACCACTAGACCCCCTTCCCGCCCAATGGAGAGAATGTTATTTCAATCAATATAACAGTGACAGTGGGGAGACTTTGACCCTGATCCTGCAAACAGGTACATATGTGCTGAACTTTAAATATGTGAGAAATCCCATTGAACTCTATAGCACTACTCAGATGCATAAAGTTAAGTGTTTACAGGAATGGGGGGTCCCTAGGTTGCATATTCCCTGTAGTGCTAGAAAATGGCATTCTCAATAATAGGAGCATGTAGACTATCTGCTTTCAGTGGTATATACCTGCTGTTGACATCGCCTTCACTCTAATCAATCTCACTCTGTAGTGCTTTACAGAGGAAAAATTGCTACCACCTTGTTTTAAATGTGGTATAAATAGATAACCTGCTTTACTGATAGGTTTCATAACTAGAGGGTGGGCTCTAGAAGCCAGTAGTTTTCCTGAATTGTTATAAAAATGGCCTTTTCCCTCAAACGAGTTTAATACCAATTAAACTCATGGGTAGTTTCCTGGGAACTAGAGCTGGTTGGAAAATTTTAACATATAAAACTTTCTGCAAAAACAGTTTAGATTTAATTTTCCAACTAGTCTACTAGAGACTATACTCCCTATTACTACATATCGCCTATAGGACTGACATTGACAAGCGGTGCAATTTAGTGGATAGAGTATCAGACAGGAGCCAGCAATTTCTGAATTCTAATCCTGACTCTCTACATGGACTCACTCTGTGAGCAAGTCACTTCCTCTTCTTGTACCCTAGGCTAGGTCTACACTGCACTTTCACCGGTAAAACTTTTGTCAGTCAGGGGCGTGGGGAAAAAAAAAATACAGCCCTGACCAACAAAAGTTTTACTGACAGAAAGTGCTGGAGTGGACAGCACTTTATCGGTGGGAAATGCTCCCTCTCGCCAATAAAGCTACTGCCCCTCATTGGGAGTGGTTTTATTTTATTAATAAGGTATGCTGCATACCTTACAGCAGCACTTAGTAGCAGCCCAGCTGTGCTGCTGTAAGGTGCGCAGTGTAGACGTAGCCTTAGTTCTCCTGTCTGTGAAATGGAGGTAATAATACTGACCTACTCTGTAGGGTCTTGGGGATCAATTCAACGTCAAATCTGAAGGCATCTGAAGCTCTGTAGTGCTATGCTTTAGAATAGAAGTGCTCAGTATTTATTTTTATTATATTGGCCCTAAATGGGGGTGCATCTTATTTAGAGAAGCTTTCCCTGGGAAATGAGATCTTGATCCGCCTTTTTCCATTTGGAGTGTTGAAAGGAACATCTCTATTTAGGTGGCTATACTTTGAATATAAAATACCTAGTTAGGAGCCTCCATGCCACTGGAACACCAACAGACTCCTGACTCCAGTGACATAGCCAGGAAACTCTTGGACTCTCTTGGTATCTCTTTAAAATCCAGTTTGGGAGGTGGGCAGCTTACTTTCTTCCCTGCTTATCTTCATTAGGCCCAAATATGTAAATAATGTGTCTCTCTCAGCCCATTCAGTGACACTGCTTCCATGTGCTGGCACCCCATCAGCTCTTGCAACAAGTATTGAGTTTCAAATGTACTTTGCTGCACGCACCGTTCCAACGTTTATTTTACAGCTGGAAGTTTCCCAGACCTCGTAGTGTTCTCAGTTGTGTTGCAGAACATCCAGATTCCAAGCACACCCTTCCAACACGCTTGTATTTTCTCCATATCTCTTACTCTGCTTTATATGGCCACCTGATGTCACTGACTACAGCAGCAGTATCATGTATGGTGACTTTCGTCTCCTTCTCTGTGCTGTAGTTCCTTGGGCCATGTCCCTGCAAACAGAGCCACGCAGGATCTCATTGATTTTGGTGGGGCTCCACACAGGTGTGAGAAACCATCTGCGTAGATCACGGTCCAAGTTCTGCAGGAATTAGGATGCAAGAGACAGAACATCTACAGGCCCAAAACTGGAGAAATCTCCTAACTTTGAGTGAATCTTACATAGAACTATTATATAGAAGAAGAATGGGAGTAACTGGTCTATTTCAAAAATAAAAAAGCCAACCCTACCGTTACCCACAGGGAATATGGGGTGCTCTGCACACATCTGTATATCTCCTCTTTGCAGCTGTTCAGGTTCACTGGTGTTAACATCAAAGAGGTGTCAATTGAGCCAGGGCGTTAATGTAGTAGGTTATTATATAATCAGGGAAACTTGCAACATCGTCTCAAGAAGCGTCTCTTTATGATTTTCAAAATACACTAAACAAGCCACACAGCGAAGGGTTATTTATTTTAAAATATTTGATTAACTATCTTTAAGAAACTGTGGAAAGTAGGCCCTTGTCAAAACACAGGCCCTACATTTTAAAAAATGACTACCATTGAATTATTCTTGCTGGGGATTTTATTAAACCTGAGCAATGAAGCAAAAGTAGTTGGCTTTCCGTAGCACTCCTCTAACATTGTTGATGGCTCTTATAATATTAAGAATAGAGATGGATAATTCAATTGCATCTCTAAGGAAAAGTTAAGCCTTTATTGAGTGCGCAAAGAATTAATTAAAGCTTGTATTTCATCCTCCAGACAGAACCTAACAATGATGACTTTCTCTCTGAATCGGAGAAGATGGCTCTGGATTTAAAAGATCCAAACCGTCCAAGATTTACTCTACAAGAACTACGGGATGTCTTACACGAGCGGAATGAACTGAAGTCTAGAGTGTTTTTGTTGCAGGAGGAGCTTTTATATTATAAGAGGTGTGTTGGCTCCCACTGTTGGTATTGCTACCTCTGCCTTCTCCATTGTCCTACTCTTGGAGAGGCACAGAATAGAGGGAAACCAGAGGTTGGATCTAAAAACTGTGAGTGTCCGCTTAAATAGTCTCTAAGAAATGGCAGTGGATTCTTGGCTTCCCTAAGACAAAGTAAAGATGGCTCCAAAATCTGGTTCATGGTGAAAATTCAAATAAGTTTTGGGAGGCGTTTGGTTTAATTTTAATGTTCCCCAAAACCTGTGACCTCTCAATAGCAGAAATTGCAAACAAATGCATACTTTTAAAAGGGAAAGAAATTGTTAGTGCCTGTTTTTTTATTTTATTTTATTATATATATAAAAATCAGAAAATGGCCTTTTGACAAAGATGGAAATATTTGCACTTTTTTTTAAAATTTTCTTTCCCTCTTTCCTCCCTTTCTTTTTTCATGGCAAAATGGAGGGAGAGAATCTGGGGAAGGGAATTGAAAACCCCAACAACCAAAAGTCTTCATTTAAATTTTTTTCAAATGAGCAACAAATAAATCTTTTCCATACCTGTGGAACAAAATTTGGCTTGAAATTACAATAAAAAAAACAACCACCCATTCTGCACACCCTAACTCTTTCAATCAGCTCTTTAAAAAAAAAAAATCGTAAATTTCATGTAGGGACAGTTTATTTACTTACACTCATTTAACATTCTCAGCAAAGCTATATAGGGTCTATATGTCCCTGGGACTGGATACACCTCTAGGTCACTGGCAAAAATCTATTCCTCAGCACATGGCTAGTGCCAAAAATGTATTGCATCTGATACCTGTTCTGTGGCCCAAGGGCAGCAAGGTTATGGTCGCAGTTCAGCACCCCGTGGAGAAGTGCCAAAATCCTAAAACTATCGTGACCATTTCCATTAGCATGCCAGTGATTTCCAGTCCCCTCATAGAGGCCAAGGACTGAATGGGCCTTGAAGACAGGAGAGCTTAGCCTCCCCTACAGGAGCTCTGTTTAGACCGTCATTTGAGGTATATCAGTAGGGGGAAGACTGTCTTGCTGCTCCCCATGCTGCACTTGTTCTTTGACTAAACCAGGGACTCCTGAGCTGTCAATCCAGCACTTACACAACTTTTTAAAATCACATGGTCAGTTTTCCTCTCATAAATGGTGGGATCCATTAAACTCAGCCTGTCGCTCTCCAGGGATTGCTGTATGCGGCACAGCAGTATTCTGTCCTCTTCTGAGTTTAAGAAGCTATTGCAGGTACTTGGGTTACCTGAATGTTGAAGTTTTTTAATATATGCAGTATTGTAGCCATGTCAGATCCCAGGATAGTAGAGAGACAAGGTGGGTGAGGTAATATCTTTTACTGTTCCAATTTCTGTTGATGAGCAAGACAAGCTTTCAAGCTTACACAGAAGTCTGACCTTTTTAATGGCACTCACTGCGTATGATTAACCCTACAAATCCTCCTCATGTGACAGTTATAGAACTCCTCTTCTAACATTGGTCACTTGAATTTGAAGGAGTATTGTAAATTAAAAGAAACTAAGGGCCTTATCCACTGCTGATGAAAAGATTGCCACTGACTTGAATGAGTTTGAATCAGCCTTTCAGTTTACAAAGCTTGTTCAGATTCATGAAACTCAAGGTGTGATCCAAACCCACTAAAGTCAGAGGGCATCTTTTCATCAGCAGTGGATCAGGCCCTTAGTTCCTTTTAATTTACAAAACTCCTTCAAATTTTATTTTAAATTTCTCCAGAATAATGAAAGAACTAGAACTTAACTGTATTTTTTTTTCTCTTCTTAAAGTGAGGAAACAGAAGAAGAAACTAGATCCCCTCAACCTACACCCATAATTAATTCAAAAACCTCAACTCAGCCAGAATCTGGAATCAAACGACTGTAAGTAGCATTCTCTTCCAATGATCTTGAACTGGGCATGTTTCTTGGGGGGGTAATTGGGTTGGTTTTAGTTCTGGTTTCTCCCCCCGTCCCTCCAACCCCATTAATCTTCATTTAGTGATATCACGTGCACATGTGTTTTGGAAATAATCCTATAATAAACAGTATTATAAACATACATTTTAGAGGTTTTATGAAACAAAACAGAACATAGTGCTGATTTAATTCTCGGTGACTTCCTATCTCTGACCGGTTCCCTTCACACACATAATAGGGAGAATAAGTGTTCTGTGCACTTGCATTTATGGTTACAGATAAACTGAGAGCCTATGGTGTGTTACATTCTAATATTCCCTTCTTGAGTACTGTTATAATACTCAGATTGAGTAGAATAGCATATGTTATGGATTGTAACAGCATATGAGCTAACAAGCTGTTAGCCACAGAAACTCCGGCTCTTATTTGGAACCATCTTGTCAGGCTCTGAGGCTGTTTGTGTCTGCATATGAAAGTGAACTGCTGGTTTCTCGCCATGGGCTGTGGTCCTATTTCAAGCCTGATCCTGCATTCCTTGGGCACCCCAAATTGCAGCTGAGCCCAATGTAAGATCAGGGTGCATTAGGAATGTAAAATTGGGCATTTTTTCACCTATGTGCTTGCTTACATTTAGACAGTAAACTCCTTGGGGCAGAGACAGCAGACTCAGCAATGGGAACATGTCAGCAAGTTGCCTCCTCTAGGTCTCACACCTGAGAGCGGTAGAATGTGTTGGTTACGAAAGAAACGAAAGCTCAAGCACATAACAGCTGGGTCTGGAGTTCAGTCTCCTTCCCTTCCCACTACTAAGTAGCCGTGTTTACAGATTCATACATCCTGAGAATCTGATTGAGCCTTCAGGTTCAAGCCTTGCCATTTCCCTGTACACACCTAGCTGTATACAGAACACCTGCATTAGGTGTTAACTCTTTGCTTACTATACAGAGTTAACTCTTTGCTTACTATGCACCCTGTCCGAGGGGGCTTGTCTCTGTTGTTTTTCTGACCTGTAAAGCTCCATGTCCCCTATAGTGGGGTGTAAGTAATAATACTGTGCAGATAGGATTAGAAAAACAAATTTTTGAATCACTTCATTTGTCAGTTTATCTATTGTCAGCTCACTCTCACCATTTTATTCCAAATATTCGCTTTTGAACCCGCTAAGAGGCTTTCATGTTTTGTGAATAGTGTAACTATTTTAACAATGCATAAACTATTTGGATATGCCACATTTTTATTTAGTTGCAAAACTCTCCCATCCTGTCCCTATATGCATAGAACCTTCAGCTTCCATATAAAAATAGTGCCTGCACTTACCTAGTGCCTTTCACTGGATGATCTTGGGGGATGATCCAAACTCCAGTAAAGGTAACTGGAATGTTTCCATTGACTCCAGTTGGCTTTAGCTCATGCTATTAGTGCATAGGAATGGGCCATATTTCAGACTGGTTGCTTCAATGACCCTTTATTTTATATTTGAAAATTACACTTTGAGTTTGACACTTGGATTACTTTTCCTCATGATTATGGTTATGATGCCCTACTTTTATAACACTTATGAGAAGAGCATGTCATGTTTGGACTAGTGGGTTTATCTTGTATGTTCATCTCCATCATAAATGTTCTGTTCCTGTATTACTATTTAATCCTTCACTTTATTTAGTTTGATTCCCCATTTGTGGGGAATGGCCACATAACCAATATAGTGGTGACTGCAATTTGTGGATTGGGATTATCTTGAGCAAAAGTGGGACAAAATTGTAAACTGACCACATTTTGTTGCAATGCTAACTGGACATTTAGTTTTGGCTCTCTCTGATTCTAACATACATAGGCAGCATAGGGAGTCATGGCAGGAGAGCATGGATATTTGGAGTGGCTGTCTCGCTGGGTTCTTCCTCTGACTTTTCTGGAGTGCTCTGGAACATATGTTGGGCAGCTGGCCACTAATCAAATGGAAAACTTCTAGACAAATTCAGATCTTTCTTTATCATCTTGCCTTTTAATTTATAATCACCCGTATCTAACAGTAGTAAAAGTTAAACCTGTTGTTTCGACTTGTTCCCTTCTTTCAAAAACTCCTTTCACATTTTAATAAATTCCCAGGCTGTCATCCTAAGCATAGAGCTCCCCTGCCCATTCTTACTGGGATATGGAACTGTGTACCAAACCTGCTATCTGGGGGAACTGGCTTTCTTGTCAACTGGCACTCTCAACACCTTGTGGTGGTGGTGGGTTTGTTTTGTTTTTTTCCCCCCTGCCTCTTGCAGGGGTGTGTGTGTAGGGGGGGAAATGGGACCCTTTTAATTCTTTTAATATAATATAAAGTGTGTGTATATATCAATTTATTTATTTTTTGTTAAATTTGGGATAATTCTTTCCTTATCTTAAGTTAACCAAGACAACAATGGTACTTGAACTTTTTTGGAGCCTCCCTAGACAGAACCCATCTGTCTTCATTGTCTCTCTCATGTCTGGAGTGCCTGAAACTGTGGCACCAGCAGTCCTCTGTGGCTGGGGCACTGTCTGCAGTCCCGAGCTGGGGGGCACTCCAGGAGTTTAGTAGTCCCCACATAGGCCAAGGTTTGGCAGGTGCCGGGGGTCTATGTGATTGCCTGAAATGAAAGGAAACCGAATTGCTGGGAAAGAAAAAGGCCCCCATTTCTGTGTCTTCTCCTGCAGCTGCCACTTTACAGCCCCCCACTCAGGTACCAGAAGGAGAAGTAACACAGCCCAGGTAGCCAGCTGCTTCTTGGTCAGGTGAGAGTTAGGGATACAGTTTATCCGTCAAGCTGACAGATCTCTCCTGCTCCAGGCAGACTTTCAGCGCCCTGAGACTATAGCCATTTAATTACCTAAATAGTAAATAAATCCCATTATATCCATTTTACAGATGGGGAAGTGGAGGCAAAAAGAAGATGCAGCCAAATTAATAGACCAAAATACCACAGCTTACCCCAGTGATGCTGCAGGGCTGGGAGACGCAACTGTGGCTGAAGGGAGCCTTAGTCAAGTTACTTAGGATCTGATTCTGCAAGGTGCTGAGTCACTCCTGTGCTCCAGGTCCCACTGCCAATGGAAGTTGTGGACACTCAGAACTGCTCAGCACCTTGTAAGATCAGGCCCCAAGTCACCTGCTTAAAACCATAGAGGGACACCGTAACTACAGTATTCTACTGTAAGCTCTCCAAACCTGCAATAGCACTGGGATAAGATGTAATAGATTAAAAACGCTACCTTAGTACTCCTTTGGAACAGAGCTGGGATTAGAACTCTGACAGCCTTAGCTGCCACTCCTGTTTTCAGACTGTCTCTCAACAAAGCCTAACTAAGAAAATACAGATTTATTGCCGTTCTCTTAGGAAAAGCTGTATGTCTGCCTCTTTAAAATACACCTCTTTCCCTTCACTGTGAGTACAGTATTATAAAGACACCAGGCATATTCTCTACCATCTTGGATTGGCTCATACAATTAGTGTGTTGCTGCATTTGCAAACAGCTAAGGGAAACAGAAGTTCTGAAATCTACTTTTTTTTTTTTTCCCCTTCCCTGGGGTTTCAGCTTGATTTTTAGATTCTCTACAAGTTTAAAGGGGCACTGATCTCCTGAGATCACCTTAATTTACCATTAAGTTTGTCTCTATTCCTCTATGGCTGCATGTAATGAGAGAATATCTGTCGTCAGCCAAAAGGAGATACTTGTGCGGAAAAAGCATCAGCACTGGAATTAAAAATGCTGGCTCTATTTTGTTTGTACACTGTACAGGAAGACCCTTTTCTTTAAGAGTACCACACTTGTTTGTTCAATGTAATGCCTGAAGTAGTCTTACATCTTGTTCTGATGTGTGAGCGCTATAGATAACTGAGTTGGCCATGGTGTGTAAAACTAGAAGTCCAAGCTATGGTGAATAATATAACAATGTTTGTTTGTTTTGATTCCAAGAATAGCAGCTACAGCAGCTGTGTTAGGAAGGCTTTTGAGCTGCATTAGGTCACAAGTGAAATGACTCTGGTGATCTCAACTTTATCCTTAACTGACACTAGTCCACAGCACAAAAATAAATTGGCCACAGTTGACCGTATCTGCAGAGGAGAATCCTTAGAACAGCAGAGGGTGTTGCAGGTATGGACGAAGATGCTTTGTGTGGGCCAAGTCATACAGAGCATTTAGCCAAAGTGCTCTCTCATGCTCAGGTTTTTTGAGCACCAGAGTGTACCTCCAAGTTGCATGAATGGTATGATGTGCAGTAAAAGGGCTGAACACTTACAAAGAAACTGTCACAGCAAGTCAGATAAAATAATGTTTCTTCTAGCATATTTGTAAGGCTTTGAAACCAGTATTATAGCTGCCTGTGGTTGGCATTTCTGCATGTGTATTGATGCAGAACCACTCAAAAAAGAGACATGGGCCCTTTTTAACCAAGTAGAATGCAATGGGGTTTATTTCAAGTCTTCAAATCCTTTTTTTTTTTTAAACTTGACAGTATCAGTTTTGTTACTTGTAATACCCTTAAAACTGTAAAATGGATCATTTCTAACCCTAGTTCCTATGCAAATATCCATGGGAAAGCAGTAGCTATTGTATTGTATTGTAGAGCACTGTTTGTATTTCTTAACATCCACCTTCATCCTTCACTTCACCATTATGTATGTGCCTGTTTCTTTTACAAACCTGTAAACTGGAAAAACAATGTATTCTCATGCTCTGCATTGCTAGAGATTATAATCCCTTGGTGAAGTTACACCAAGGCTGTGTGCTGCATCACAGCAGAAATTTGACCTCTCAGTTATGAATATTTTTAAGATGGCATAACAACCAGATTTTAATTACCATACTAATTTATCTAACCCAGAAGTGCCAGTGAGCAGCTGTCTTGGGTGCTGCAGATACATTTCTCTCTCTCCCTACTCTCATGTGTGATAATTCAAAGTAACCCTATGTATCTTGTTTACCTGTCTTTTATGGAATGTCTTTTATTTATTATTCCAGTCTTATCTCTGTGCCTGTACTTTTCTGACCAGGATCTTTACAGCCATAATGCCCATGGTAGCAGCTGGATTGATTCCAGATGATCCCACATTGCAGCCAATAAGAAGACTTGTGTCCCTTGTAGGAATTTTTTTTTAAATGTTTCGTACTGTGGTTTTTTTGTGGGTTCTCTTTTGGTTTGTTTGTTTTTTTGCATGACCCTCATGTATTTTAATATAAGCTGCTGGTTGCATTCTCATTGGCTGACTATAGGATCACAGAAACTCAAAAGCTGCCCATCAGAATGATCAATCAGTACATATTCATTTCAGTATTTGAATGCTTAGTCTTGACTATTCTGTTCCATCATTTCTGTCTTAGTGTTACCATGCTAAACCAATTTGTCCATTACCCATTAAGAAATTAATTCAATAAGAGCATTTTAACCAACATCTGTTAATTTTGCTTACTAAACCTGTTTTGTGTTATATCTATCATGACAAGTGCTTTTTAAAAACTGTAATTTTTTTGACCTGCTACAAATTAATTCTACAGAATATAATGGCCGATATCTGTGCTAACGCCTAGTGTTTACTTTACTTTACTTATAGGCTGTCATTTACATGTCTGAGTACATGTTAACTGTGGATTTTGGTCTCCTATTGTGTGCTCCACACTATCCAGATTATATGTACTTAAAACAAGTTCTACAACTAGATTCTTCTCTATCAAAAGAGGGCATTGACTACTGCTAACGCAAGTTCTGGTTGAATTTTGATTATTATGGTGATCATGTGAAATGACCACTACTAGGGTTACCATATTTAAAAAATAAAAAAAGAGGACACTCCATGGGGCCCTGGCCCCGCCCCTTTCCCACCCCTCTTCCCCGCCCCAACTCCACCCATTCCCCCGTCCCTTCCCCAAAGTCCCTGCCGTAACTACCCCTCCTCCCTCCCAGCCACGCGAAAAGGGCTGCCCGAGCGCTACCAGGTTCATGGTTTGCCGGGC